ACCAGTCTTGTGTCACAATGCCAAAGAAAGAAAGCGAAGACCTGCAGACTCTTGGAGGAAAAAAAGGCAAAGTTTTCCTGGAAAAAAAAGGCAAAGTTTTCCTTGGAAATGAAAGTTTGCTTCCTGCTGTCTGTTAATTTTTGCAGACATCCTCCTTCTTGTTCAAAAAACTATTTTTCCCCTGAAAAGTTTAAGCGTACCCCATCCTTACTGCTGCTTTTCATAAGCCGCTGCAGGGGAGCTCATAGTAGGGGAGCGAAGTCTTCATTTTGCCCTAATGATAACCTAGTGATACCTCTGAGCGCATCGATACCACAGACCTCAGCAGTACTAAGATGCTTCAGTATCTTAAGCAGTAGGAAAGTAACTCTTCAGCAAAACAAAAACTTAGAAGTAAAGGTAAGAACTGCATGAGAACAGGTCTGATCCAGAGGGATTCTGGATCTGGGGATGGATTCTACCCAGTCAGGAAGGCTAATGGGGAAAAAAAATCCTTTCAGTGATTGTCAAAATGGGAGAAAGAGGTTTTCTGAGGCTCTATGCCATTTTTTTAGCCTTGCACTCTTCTGTCAAGGAGTTTACAAAACTTAGGCCAAAATAATTTTCGTAGGAACTTTAACTGGGAAGTTGTGGTGAGGCAAATACACATACATCTTTTAAACACTTTGAACCTCTTTAATTCAAAATCACACATCATGCTAAAACTAACTCCTGTTCAAACCATGTGTAGGAAACTGTGGGTTTTACTTTGTTTCAGGCAAGCTTGCTCATATTTATTTTCAGAGGAATCCTGTGTTTTAAATGGCTTCTTGTCTGGTTGTTCAGTTGGAGAACAGGATTAACAGAAAATATTTTAATACATAAACAATTAATGCTGTTATGATATACTAGGGAAATGGAATTTTGCAATAAAACTAATGTTTTGCATTTTGCACAGTCATACTTTAAAACCATAGCCAGTATACTTTAAAAATTGATGAAAAATGTTTGATTTTTTTTTCTGTGCAGTACAAGCGCGCAGCATATTCATGAACTTCAATGTTAAACACACTTGTAGAAAAGGAGATGGTTTGGTGGGAGGGAATTGTGTAAATGTGTGTATATATGTGTATATACACACACATATATGTACCATCTAAACCACTTTGGTTGCAAACCGCACACCTGCAGTAGTGGAAAGACAGGAAAGGGATGGTGATTTGCAAAAATCAGATTTTTGAGAGAACAGCTATGAGGCTAAAAGCTGAGAGCTCTGAGGAGTTTCACTACCTTTTCTTTACATAGAATTCTCCAAACATCACGTGGAAGAAGTATTCTGACCCTTAACTTGCTCTACAGTCTTTACTTGTGTCATTTAATTAGGACTTCTCCTTTACAAAAGGTTATAACTATGTGTACTAGCTAAAAATTAGAATTATATCTGAAAAGTGCTAAAGCAAATCTCTGCCAGAGGTATGAATAAACCACCTAGTCATCTTCTTAGCTGCTTAGCTGCACTTGGGAACAGTGCTTTGCATTTTATTTTATTTTTTTGTACCAGCAGTATCTTTTAAAGCAGTGAACAAGTTGATATAGCTGACTAACATATTTAGTTTTTATCTGATATTTTTATAGTCTTCAATTTTGCAAGATTTTAATTAAGCCAAATTAAAAAAAAAAAAAAACTTGTCTCACATCAAAGGGGTACGGCTATAGCTTTTTATCTTTCCAGCTTTCAGCATGTGAGTGTAAATTCAAGTGGTCCATCAAAGCCAGCTGGAGTTGTGCCATCCACTTTGATGGGGCCAGGAGTCCATCCATCATTCCGTATGGATGCAGGGCACTTTCTCTGAAACACCAACTGGTAGCTCAGCTGCAGGCAGGTGGAAAATGCATTAGACACATCCTGCATTTGCACCACGATTTCACTCGCTGTCTTCAGTGGCCCAAGATGTGGTTTTCATACTAGTGCCTGCACCTCTCCATTGCACATCTCTCCTGCTGCTTATTCTTGCACGGGCAATTCAAACATCTAATTCTGTCATTCCCCATTTGGGCAAAAATCTTTAAAAGTTATATAATGATAGGGTGAGAATTTAGAATTTATATACAGAGAGTGACATAAAATATAACAATATGTAAATTTAATTGGAAGTTTAATTGGTCAGAGTGTTCTGCTACTAATTTGGGATCCTAAACAGCCTGTGATCTACAAAAAGCTTTTCAGTTTACCTTTAAGTTAAAGAAGTCATACCTTAGTTTAATTTAAAAGACTGGCAATGTGCTGACAAAATAATTAAATAAAGAAACACATAATATAGTGAAAACTGGTTATTTTATAAAACTAAACTAAAAATAGTAAAATCTAGAATGCAGGTAATGTTGGAAGATAATTGTGATTTCAAAGGGAGATGGTGTACTGAATGAGAAAAAAAAAAGGTTATTGAATGTTACCTGGCAATAAGTAAACGGATTCCTGCTCTTCTAAGCGGCATTAAACTTACATTGGTTGTGCAAATTCGGGGTGAAGCCGAATGCTCACAATTCCTTATCCACCCGGGTCCGGAACAGTGCAGGGGGTTGAGCTGCTGAGCGTGCAGCATGCTGGCACTGAGGATTGCTTTAGCAAAAACATATGTAAATAAATATAAATATATGTTCTACATGGAAAGCCATCAGAACGAGGCGGGAGGAAGGTTAGGGACCAGCACTGGAGGGGTTGTAATAGAGTGGGTGGCCTGTACAAGGGCAGGAACGGGGCTTCAGAGGGAAGGGAAGAGATGGGATCAAGGGCAGGGCGCTTTAACCACCTACATTTGCACGTTACCCCCGTTACCCAGTCCTGCAATTGCACATTACACACCTCAAATGGACCGAGCTGAGTCATTGGTGTCACAGGCTGTTGGCAGGCAGTGGGCATGGAAGCTGTTCTGTAGATTTTGGCTGCATGGAGGTTTCTGAGCTCAGCGAGGTCACAAAATCGCCTCTGAATAGAAGGTAGGAGCTGCGTTTACACCGTGCTGGAACTGGTCATAGCTAAGCACATAGAGGGGCTCGTGAGTCCTAGGCACGAGTCCTGGCACTGCTCATGAAGTTTGACTGCTCGTTTCTCCTTCCATCTTGTTAGGATGCAATCTGTCAAACAACTCAGAAATCAGGGAAGACTGCAGTTCCCTCCCGCTCTTTTTATGTCTCGCATTCGGTTGAATTCCTTGTGCATTTCTTGTGAACTTAGGTTTTTCCCGCTTGGTTATTTCAATATGATCAGTCCAGGGGCAAATAGGTTGTGCAGAGGCTAAAACAATTACATTGCTAAATCAGATGTGGAAGTCTCTGTGCAAGCACAAGGAAGAGCATTAGTGTTGGGGAGATCTGGCTTTATGAGGGGATCTAGAAATAGGACTTTCTGCAAAGGAACGCCAGTAACACCACATGTGGCCAAATGTACACATTAGCAGAGAAGATGCTTTCTTAGTGTAGTCCTCCTTTTTAAAGCATTTTTTGGTTATCTTGGAAGTGGCTTCAGTTCATAAAAGTGTTTGTTTTGGGGTGGCAGCATTAGGTCCTGTGATTTTGTATGGACACAGAAGGAAACTAACAGATTCTTTATTCTTGCATTTGTATTGAGGTGATAGGTGAAATTCTCTGCCCTTCGAGTAAAGGATTAAAAAGATTTTATCCTTTTTCCTATAGGTACTAATAGCAGCATATCTACTGACTGGTGCTGTTGGTGTGGAAGTCTGGCACAAGCCTGTCCTGTTTGGTTATTACATTACAGATGTGTTAGTGATCTTGCTAATAGGTAAGTGTCCAGATCTGTGGAAAATCCGTTTTTAATTATTTTGATTAGCTAGTTCGTATATTCCCATCTTTTGCCTTTTTTTTTTTTTGACTGAGATTGTGTAGTGTTTTTATTAGCCAGGCCTGTTTTTTTTTTTTCCTCACTCTTAAGAAAATAAATAAGGGGAAAAAACAGAGCTTGCTTTTTAATGGTTGATGAATTAATTATTCAGCTTATCTGACATCATGTTTACAAAATGCCCTCTGGTGGCTGGTAATGGATCGAGGGCCTGGGGAAGGGTTTGAGCTGGGCAGGTTGTGAGTCCGGGGAGGTGGGTGCTGCCTGCCCAGGTCAGGTTTGTGCTGGTGCTATGTGCTGGCATGACCCGCCTCGTTGAGCACCCTCCTTCTGTGCCACGCACATGGCTTTCCTGTTCCTGCCACTAAGGGAGGTGGCAGCCAGCTCCGTGATGGCCTGCCTTGTGCTCAGGAGGCCATGGATGAAGGTTTAGTTCACGCTTATTCAGCATGTGAGGAAGATTTGTGGTAGGCAAGGACATCAGTGCCATAAAATGAGCAGCAGCAAGCAGCCGTTCTTCATTCCCAACCAAAAATAACCGTGGAGCAAAGATCGACCCAATGCCCCCTTCCAGTTACCAAGTACTGCTTCTGTCCCTTACAGCAGCCGTGCGTGACTGGAGCCCTCAGCAGAGAACTGAGTGGTTCTTCCCTCTGTGCTCCAAGCAGCTGAGGAACGCTGCCTGTTGATGGGGCTACTGTTTTTCTCACAGTGCCATTAGTAGGACAACCTTTTTAGCTGAATGTAGCTAACTATTCGTTTTAAGTAACCAGTAAACTTGCTTGATTGTCTATTTTATTACCAAGTTGTCACAATGCCCTGTAGCTTTCTTAAAAACAGCCACTAACTTTAAACTGTATATGAAAAAGTAAAAAACAGAGAGAGAATCCTTCCACTTAGGATCATGCAGATTCAGAACGCACTTCAACTGCATCGTCGCAGGTTTGAACCTCAGTTCAGCGACAGTCACCAAGGTGCTTATCACCTGTGCGTAGTGAATATGAATGTAGGAAGGTAGCAGCAGCATGTCATATTGCACGGGACTCCATGGTGACTGCTAAAAAACATGTAAGTTTGGCACCTCCAGCAAGCGCTGAGCAAGCAGGAAGATTAAACTATTTCCTCCCGTGGAGAGGCTGCAGCAAGTGTATCCTGCTCACTCGGATCTGTTTATATCAGAAACCCCCTCTACAGCATTTTCCGTTGGATGCCTCTGTGGCTCCTTAAAACACGGCGCGATGGAGTAGGTCTCTCCCTGGTGCCTTTTACGAGTTTGTTTCCCAGGACCCCGCGAGGAGCTATTAAACCATCCTCGACTGTTCGATGGCATTTATTAGGCACTAGTGTTCGTTTTAACAATGGACCTGTATCTGTTTCATCAATACTTGGCAAAGCACGTGCATGTGGTTTCTTGCTTTTACTGCTCTGTACACAACAGGAGTCCATCTGCTGAGCTGTCACTTTTCTGGAAACAGCTGGGCCTTAGCTAGTACCTTTTAAAGTGGGAAGAAATCCAAATGAGAAGAACAAAAGTGGAGCTTTCCAAATGTCTTTCCTGCCGTTTCTGGGGGAAAAGAAAAAGAAATATCCCATATATAACCTACGAATGAACTCTGCTGTAAGCACATCCTGAGTGGAAGCTGTGGTTTTACCAGGTGACACTCATTCGCTGAAAATGGAATTTTTATCAGGTGCCAGAACACACAAAGATATATATAAAACTGCAGCAATACTGGTGTTTAGATTAGATATTTTAGGAAAGCCTCCCAAGAGAGGGTTTTACATACGTTCCTGGGAACTGTCTAGCACAGTGAGTGCCTTGTAGGAGGGCCAAGGCTTGGGCTGCTGAGCGGTGACCTTGGAGGACTCCTTTGTGAAGCAGAGCGAGCTCTGCAGAGGATTTTATGGGGATTCTGCTGCTACCCAGCGAATAGAAACATGTAATGTTTCCAGTGAGTGCAATTCCATCGTGATGTTCCAGTGCTTAAGCTCCAAAACGCACCCTTTGCTAAACACCAAACTAAATAAATAAGGCTCTTCTTCTTCTGTTGCCGTGCATCCCAGCTTCTAGACAGCAGAGCCTTTGCTCCCCTAGCGTGAAAGTAGCCAGGCCTTTTTTTACAGTTATGTGCATGAGTGCTCAGCTGGAACTGATCACTCTGCTCTCAGCAAGGCTCTTGTGGACACGCTGAAGCTTCGTTGGGGTTTAAGCACAGTTGTCCCATAGCACTATCTTATCTAACTAGGGTCTTCTCAGAGGGCAGCGCTGGGGGCAGAGCTTTCATTTTGGCCTCTCTGTAAGCACAGTTGTCCCATAGCACTATCTATCTAACTAGGGTCTTCTCAGAGGGCGACGCTGGGGGCAGAGCTGGCATTTTGGCCTCTCTGGCCTTCCTGTCATTGTGCCATCACATTGTGCACAACACAAGACGTTTATAATAAGACTTTTCACACAGTTAATTCTCCAGATGAAGTCTAGTACATCAGATGAAAGCCACAAGATCCTATAAACTTCATCACAAGATATTAATTGAGAAATAAATATCAGTAGTTCAGGGAGGAGCATTATTAAGTGCTGGGGGTTTGCTGGGGATTTCTGCCCCACGCTGGAGTTAGATGACCTGTTGGGTGCAGGTTCTGCTGAAGCTTTTCCCATCGTTGGCCTATTCATCCTAGCTCCCTGCACAATGGATTCTATGATGTCTAATGAAGGCTGACTTCAGGCTGCAGCCCTCGCCTCACTGGAGATGGGTCTCCAGTCATGGATCATAGCCTAGACTGGCCACAGGTCTGTTGTTCTCCACCTGGCTCTTTATCTCCATGCCATTTACAGGAAGTTTCTTCCTGTTTATTTAATCTGTGCAGATTAACCAGAGATGGAGTCATTACAGTAGGGTACTCATGAGCAGGCAAAGTACGATCCCATCAGCCTCATTCCTTAGGAAGGCGGGTTGCAATGATGACACCTGGATGCACAGAAAGGTTCCTTCTGCTCCTCAGTATTAATTGTCACCACAGAAATGGGCTTTGCGGCTAAAGGGCCACCGGAGCATGGAGTGGAGGTGTTGGACTTCTCCGGTGCGTGGAGAGCTCTGTCCTCCCGAGGCAGTGGCACATCTGGGTGCACCTCGTGTGGCCGGTGGCACCCACGTCTCCGGGCTGGTGAAGTCTGCGGCGAAGCTGACCCAATTCCTCACAATCCAGGTTCAAACACACAGATTCAAGTGTGAATGGAGAACTAACAGCTGTCAGAGATCCGGAACTTGAACTTTCCTTTAGAGAAGGGGCCAAAGTATTCAGAATTTTTTCCTATGATGTCTATTGGATCGAGTTCCTTACAGAGTTCTCAAAGACTGTGTCTTCCTTGAGATACACTCATTTTTAGAGCTATTTAACTGTATAAAATACAGAATAAACACATAATTAGCAACATAATAGCAGCAAAAATAATTTAAAAAATGATGAGACCAAGGCACAACATTTGAAACATTTCAAGTTTATGCACTGTCATACTGGATAAGCCCAGCTATCCATCTAAAATAGTGCCTTGTCCTTAAACAGTGACCTATATCATAGGTAGTAAAAGAGGACACAGAAATCCTTGCAGTGGACACTTACACAGTAGTCTCTTTTTTTTCAATATTATAAAAGTTTTAGATGGCCACGATCAAATAGTCCTGGTCTGAAAGTCAAATTTCTTTGAACAATAATGTATTTTTCTTGTCCATAACAGTATTAAAGTATGATTTTATTCACCAGGCTGTATCTCAAAGTCCTTAAGACTTAAAGGAACATTTATGCCCTATAAATCCATCCAGCAATTCTGCACTAGCATGGATGAGAGGCAGATGTTCTTTGGTTGAAGAAGTCTGTTTCTGGTACTGTAACTGCTGTAGGAACCACTACGGGATGAGACAAGTTGCTCTCGTTCTCTTCTTGGAAAACTTCCAGTCTTGTGAACCATTGTAGCAAGATCTTGGGTTTCTTTTGTAGTAATGCGAAGCACTAAACACCAAGTCAACCAAATGCATTTCTGAGTTTTGTTTATTTAGATGTATTATTTGTGTATATAGATGACCTCTAGAGGTCCCTTCCAACCTTAAGGATTCTGTGATTCTGATTCTGTGATTATTGCTTTATAGCAATAAGTTGCTCTGTGGTGAATTTCTGTGACTATCATTGGAAAGTGATTGATCCATCAGCCATACTAACGGACAGCCAAAAGTGATGTATTTTCCAAATTTTATGACTTGTACAGGCTTTGACCGGCCTTGTTTTAGGTGTAGTTAACATGTGTTGGCTTGCAGATACAGTTGTCACCACTTTAGCATCTATTAAGGCACACTTGTGACAGATTGCATCAGATCTCGTTGAAACCAAGGGTGTGAAATACCCACCCGCCACTCCAGATGATAAACACAAAAAGCAGCTCAGTTCACGTGTGGATTCACTCCCGTGAGGCAGCCAGAGCCAGAGCCCCACAAGGAAAAGCCCTGGGGCTGGAGGCAGAGCGGCTGCAGGTGGAAGGGACCTGCTCCTTGGTGCCCCAGGAGAAGCCAGAGCTCAGAGCAGCGGCGCGGGGCGCCCGGCCCAGGAAGCCCTTTCTCCGGTGCCGGAATCTCGCCGCATTCGGAAAGGCAGGACTTCTTGTACCAGCTTTGTAAATATATTCACCCAAGAATCAGCTAGACCCATAAATGCCTTTCTTATTCTGTGCTCAGTTCCTGCAAATGCTCTTAGTTAGCTCGCTGCCCGTTGTGCACACTGTGCCATCCGTCGCGCGCGGTGAGGAGCAGGAGTCGTGCCCAGCCCGCCCCGTGCCCCCGCGCTCCTCCAGCAGCATCCTGCACGCTCGGTGTCCAGCGCACGCGCGGCGGGGCGCGTGGAGACGCTGCTCGTGTCCGCACGGCGCTCCCTGCCCGGGTAAAGCCATTCGTGCTGCGTTCGGACGCGTCCTCCTGTGCGCTCACATGGCTTACAGTATCCAGACCTACGGGCTCAATTAAGTCTGAAAATTATATATTCATTTTCTAAGAGTGCTTTTTTTTCCCAATTACTAAGTGCTTCTAAGTTTGCCATTGTTTACAATAATAAAGTGTAATTTTATGGTCAGTGCACAGCTCAATACATAATTATCTGTTTGCACAACCAATTTGAAAAGGGGTCTTCTCTAGAAATGGCTGTGAAAAGCCCAGTGCTCCATAAAAAGCTGCTGTTCTAGTTACAAGTGCACCTAACATTCACCTTTCAGTGAAGCTTGCTGTTAGATACCAATCAGTGTGCTAAACTCTCAGCTTAAGATCTTTCCATAGTCTATCATCTACTTTAAATGTGGAAGATATTGGATGAAATGTGGGAAAGCTATTGAAGATTTTTTGAAGCTGCGAGACCTACATATTTTTGATCTTTTATTTTTTTTGGTCTAGTTGCTAAGAAAATGCAAAGATGTGTTAACATCCATTTCTTTAGCGAACATCGGCTCTGATGAATTACAACTCTAGAAAGGCTAAGCAGGATGCTGAAGAAAGCAATGTGGAATAATGAACAAGGGCGGCACAAGAGAGGAGTAATTGTAGGCTGAAATGCGACTACAACTGCTCAGTGTTAAGGAGCTGTTTTTCACCGAGCTGAATTTCTGCTGTGTGCCAAGGAAAAGGTTTACACAGACCTCTGCACGGCCTCCAAAATGGGAGGGAGTTTTACTGCTCTGAGAAGACTTCTTTTTGTGGGGGACGGGGAGGAATGGAAAGATCCTTATCTGAACAAAGTCTCTCCTCTTCAAGTGTGGTGTTCACCTAGAAATGACATCAGTGTTTTGCACTGTCTGCGCCTTGAACTTTTAAATATGAAGAGAAGCCAATTATTCAAACATAATATTTCAGCTCAGATTGTTCTCTTAGGGCAGCGTAAGAAAGGGTCACTTGTCAGAAACACAGCAACGAGTGCGATTTGCAATAGGAAAGGAATGGAGAAGAAATGGCTCGGATAAACACAGTTCCTCCTTTGAAGTGGGAGAATTTGTTAAAATAGTGTTGCTGGTGCACAGCTGCTTCTTTATTTAGCGTTGTATCAAATCCGTGCGGTTTGGGTGTTCAGGGAGCTGCCTGCTTGAGCCTGGCTCTTCTGCCTCACCTGAGATGGAGGCTGGTCCTGTTGGCTGCCCAAGGAGCGTGTTCACAGCGTGGGTAGTGCTAGGGCTTCCCTTCTGCACTTGCCCTCTCCTTCTGCACCAGCAAGTCCTGGTTTTGTAGAAACGCCAAAATTAACTCAGGTGCAGGAGCCACACACAGTATTATGGAAACACTGGCTTAAAGTAAACCTGAATACATGACTGTTGTGGGGGGATAAAAGAGTAAAACAGGGCACAAATGTACTAGGGTATCTGTCAGGTGATAATTCCTTTGGCGAGGGGGTGTTCACTTAGAAATCCTGCACAGATAACACCATGCAGTTCAGGAATTTGAAATCACCACATGAAATCTGAAATTGTTACTAGAATTGATGGAAATTTTCTTTTGGAATACATAAATACATATTTGTTTATTTATTTATTTATACAGTGTTTTCCTTATTTATATGGAAAGTCAGAAATATCTTCACTTCTGACATATCTCTAATCCTGAATTACTGACTGGATTGTTCTTTTGGTTTTATACAGGCAAGATAATTCCTGATATAAAGCTTTACGGATACTTAATTTATTTCTTATAAAAAGGGGGATCAGGATAGTACGAGTCATAGGACTGGGCATAGGACTGTGCCTAGATCCTAGGATTTGGGCTTGACACTCTCAGCCGAGCGTGGCAATAGGAATTCCATGTGTGTCTGTGCCACCCAGCCGTGCTTTAGTGCTTCTGCTTTTAAAACAGCCCTGCTTTCTTACAGTTGTGTCTTGGGTTTTCAGTCCGCTAGAAAATGGGGGAAGACACTAAAGGAAAAAAATGGGAATACGGCGCAGTGGCAGTGATGCCTTTAATGAACATGGGACTGGTTCTGTTTGCTGTAATGTGCTGAAAACATGCACCAAGTTTGAATTTTTAAATAATTTTAAAATAAAGTACGTGCTTTTAGGACATTCAGAAAAGGCAGCAGTGTCCTCAGCCGGGCAGTCCTGGAGGGGGGCCGGTGCCAGAGCCGGAGCCGGGGTGGTTTTCCAGCCCGAGCCTTTTGTTCCCAGACCAGCAGGGAATGGCAGCAATGCGGAAGCAGCAGTGTAGCCCCCGGGCACAAAGGAATCCTTAATGCCAATTAAAAACAGTCTTAATGAGTTCCAAAAGCAGCCCCCGAGCCAGGCCTCCTCAGCTAAAAAAAGATGGGAAAGCAACACGTTGTAGGAAATGATGGAATTTTGAAAATCCCCTAAGAAAAGGGGAAACACCCTTTGCTTTCCCTCCTGCATCCTCAGCTCCCTCTCTGGTAAAAGGGGCTAAAAATGTGGAGGAGTAACTGGTGTAACAGCCCCGTTCTGGAAGTGACTTTTGGCTAACTTGGGGATTGTTTGTGGTCAATGTGTTATTTCTAACTAAAATGGCACTTCATAAAAATAACAAATTGTTGGCAACCATTGGTCTTTGAATTCTATTTCTAGTTCTAGTCTCTATTTCTGTTCCTCTTGGTTGCTTTTCTCCTAACAAATCAAACTTCAGGATTGCAGCAGGAAATTTAGATTTAACCTCAAGAGTCAATGTTTTGTCTCATGTCTGCTCTAATGCGATACAGATGTTGGAACTGCTGTACGCAACTCAAGATTTTATTGAGCTAGCCCTCCCTGCCTAATAGAAAACATAGCTAACTGCAATGCACGTTAAACACAGATAATTCTGAAGGCACTAACCTTGAGAATTTTATAAATATATTTTAAAAATATTTGAGATATTGCTTCCATTGCACATGCTTCATCTATTTGATGCCGCCATGAAGATTCTGCCACAGTAAAGAAACAGTTTTTTTTTCTCATCTTTCATGAAAGGAAACAACACAAGTAATTAAACACATAAAAATACAATACCTGAAATTTTTAGTCGGGATATTCTTTTTGCACATCATGCTTTCTTCCTCTTTAAAAGATAATGGGAAATGCTAAGATTTTACACTACCTATTACATTCATTTTTCCTGCTTTTGTTTCCTGACAATCCTGATCTCCAGTCTTCCTGTGTTTTAGTTTTCCTTGTCTTGAGGTGCTAGTCTGACCTGAGTCTGCTAAAGGTGATTAAGGTGTCTCTTTGACGAGGACTGGCAGTGAACAGTGACATTGCTTGAGGTCCTCCAGTGCAATGTCAGCTCTGGAACAAAGTAATCTGGAATAGGTCCTTCTCGTGTTCATTCCTACGGCAACTGAGCTTACCTTATTTCCAATAATGAGACAAAAGTTTGCTCATGTTCTGTGCAGGCAAACATTACACTGTTTTATACGTGGGATTTTTTAAAGTTAAAACCAGAAAGTTTACATCATCAGAGAGTGCTATTCCTCCCCATACCAAAATACTAGTTTTGTATGAATCTGGTGCATCTGGAACAACCCTCAAGTCTTACCCTATGAAAGGCAGAAGGAAATAGGCTCCATAGAGCAATTTGCAAGCAGCAAGCAGACCAGGTGGAGAGCGCTCCATTGCCAGAAAGGAGTAAAAACCAACCCAAAACACAGAGACCCTCCAGGGAAACGCAGAGCAGCAAATGTGTGTTGCAGCTCGAAGGAGCACTCCGTGATTTCTCACCCTGTTGTTCACTGGCACGTGGCACTTGGCTTCCCACCTTGCTCTCCGCTCCCAGCTGGGTCCTTGGCCCTTGGAGGTCCTGGTGGGTCACGTAGCCGAGCCCAGGAGGAGCCCAAGGCCCTCGCCCGCTGCCGCTTCGCTCTGGGCTCCAGGAAGGCCGCAGCTCCATTAAAAAATAAGAAATGAAGCCTCACTCATTCACGTGTTGGCCATGCTATGACAGCGAAGTCATTTCACGGTGGTTGTATCTAGGCCACTGGCTGAATTAATATTTCAAATTACAAGGCTCTCATTTCCCCAGTAATGCAGGCTGCTGCTAGTTGTGCCTCCCGATGCCATTGGAAGGCTGTTGGTGTCAGGCCCGTTTCCATCTCCGTGCGCAGGGACGTGGGACACGCTGCAGGCAGGGCCCAACGGCCTCACTGCTGAGCCCCTTCCCACCCCTGCTGCTCCCTTACCTTGCCTGGCTGTAACCACTGCATCTGTATCTTGTTTTTTTTCTTCCAGGCTTCAGTTTATTTCTTTCATTTCCACAAACACTTTACAACATTCACAGGTAAGTGAATTAATATTCAATAATTTCTCTCCCCGCCTATTTAATTTGGTGTTTTTAATGATTTCCTCACCTGAGAAATAAATGTTTGAAATAGCCTAGTGTCTTTCAGCTGGATCCTGTCTTGGTAACGTGCTCTAAGTTTTTCTGTGCTCAGGGTCTCAGAGTCAGCCTGGTGTCTTTTCCATGTTCTCAACAACGCCTCTGTTTTTCCTTTCCCATATCCTTCTCCAGGCAGTCCCGCCTGGATAGTAAGTTGTTGAATGCTCTGTAGTTAAAGATACTGTATTTTATTTGCAGTCAAGCGCAGTTTGTAACTTCTACCTGCTGTAGGTAAAATCCTGTAGCCGGTCACCCTACACTCCATAAAACAGTTTATTGTCTTCCAGAGCCGTCTGTAAAGCTCCTCTCCATAGGAAATCTGCACATCGTTGCTATCACATACAGGCAAGGCTGGTGGCAAACTGTGATTACACCCAGGAGTTGACTCACTGCACCTAGAATTTTTATACACAGCTAGTTTGTTCTCTGCTGGCCTCTATTTCTTGGCGCTTCCTTGCTCCGCTTGCTCATCTCGCTCATGTGTCACATCAGGTCTCTCAGAGCCTACGTGTCCCAGAGGAGGGACTGTCACTCCCTGCCTTGAGCTATTAGTAGGGATGAATGTTAACACTGGAATTTGGGAGAGTACAAGACAGCGACACACAGCACTTACTTAAACAACTGCCCTGCAGTACTCAGTAGAGTTTATGAACCCATGGGCAGGCAGTACAAGACAGCGACACACAGCACTTACTTAAACTGCCCTGCAGTGCTCAGTAGAGTTTATGAACCCGTGGGCAGCCTCGAGTTTGGGGCAGGACGAGTGGAGAATCAGGAGGTCTGGGCAGGAGAGGCTGTGGAGCTGCAGGAAGGCAGGGAAGCCTGGAGGAGGAAGAGGAGGAGGAGGAAGAGCACCCCTGGCACCGCCAGGTCCCGCTAGCAGCAGCATTTGGTCCAAGGAATGCTTAGTTTGTGCTCTCATCCCTCTTCTTTTGGGGATTTTGTGGAGTATTTTCCTTCTCATGTCATCATCCAACATATTTTCTCTCAGGCCTTCTGGTGAGTTTTCTCATTCCTTGAAACAGAAGAGCACAGTAATTCCAAACATCCCGTCAGGATTGCTTGGAGGAGGTACTGGCAAATTATTTGGTGATGAAGAATTTGAGGTTTTCCAATAAACTTCTGTTCTTCATCGTGCTGCCTGTTCTCACTTGTTATTCTATCAGAAGAATATTGCTTTTTGGAATGAGAAAAATACTTACCGGATTTTTGTCTAGCTGTTTTTTTATAAACAAATATTCAGACATTTTAAACGACATTTTCCAGCACACGTCAAACAGAAGTGATCTTCTGAACCATGATGATGAAGAATTGGTTTAATCAGAGCAAAGCTTAGTGAATTAAACCTCCCACCCATTTAACAGCCTCTTGACGGGAGTTTTGCTTCAGTAAGAAGGATGCAAAATAGATGCAAAAGCTGTTGATCTCACAGTTCGATTTTCCCTAGCTGACAGAAAATGCAGTCTGCTATTACCAGTAATATTACTGCCTTTAGAAGGCAGCTTAAAATATCCAAGGAAGTTACTGGAAAACACAGTGGATCAAAAATTTGCTTATAGTCTAGTTAGAAAAAAAAATCTCTAGGCCACTTTGCAGCGCTGCAGGATGGAGCAGCAACCTCAACATCATTGGTACCTGCCGTGTGCTTGACTTGTCACTGAAAATGTGCAGGCCGTATTGCCTGATTGCCTGAAGTCACAGCAATATCTCATGAAGTTTCATGAGCTAAAATCGTGTGTATTTTTAATTCACAGCCAGGCTGCATGCTGTGCATTTAGGAGGTTAAGAGCAGTAGCAGAGCTACTGCAGCTCCCTTGGTGTAAGCTTAGTGGTTTATTGTGATACCGTGAGCGGTGGGTGAAGCTGACCAGAAGCTATGTGCATAAAACATTGTAGTTTTAGCCTAGAAATAAATGCTGTTTATTTCCATGGGGTATTCCACAACTTCTCTTCAAATGTCTGTCTGGGTAACACGTTTGCACAGGTAGTGGTGTTTGTAAAATGAATTCTTGAGGCTGGAGTTTGAAGTTACTGTGGGGAAATAGACTGGATACATTTTCTTGCTCCGTAAAATCATTGTATTTATTTACAGAGCACATCTAAAGAAAACACTGAAGAATGGTTCCTTGTATGAAGGACTTCTACCTCTTGTGTCACCTCTGTTGCTGTTCATTCTTCTTACAGTCTGGGTGGTTTTATCACCGGGCAACATATTAGCAAGGCAACCAAGACTCTTTTTGTGGATGGTTGGGGTTGCTTTCTCAAATGTTGTTGTAAGTATTTTTGTGGTGACGGTGTGCGTTTAGAGACAGCTTTCTGTCAGGGAGACCTGTATGAATAAGCACAGGGCTGCGGGAGCCGGGCTGAGCTCCGCAGGGTCTCTGGCACCGCTCCTCTTCCTCGCGCTCTCCCTCTCAAACGTGTGGCAGCCCTTGGCCGGGCAGGGACACCTGCACTCCTGGGCTTTGAAATAGTCATCCCACCACAGCGTAACATTCTTATGAGGGTCCTTTTCTTTTTCCCTTGAGTTTTATGAGCAACTCTGGGGAGGCTTTTCTTCCAGAAACGTAACAGAGACCCAGCAACACCTAAGTGGAACCAGGGCCTTGGCTAAGTCATGTAAAGCTACCTAACAGCAGGGGCAGTGGTGGCCTTCCCTGCCGCTCTGCCCACTGCTGTGACAGGGACAGGATCAGCTCATCCCACTTCCCCTTCACTGTTCAGGATAAGGCACCGCTGATTTTAAAATGGGAAGTGTAACCCCTCTAGAAATCTGTGCTGAGGAATGGAAAGGAAATCGGAACTTGTTAGGTGTATCCTCTCAGTGATGGTTCTCAGGACCCTCAGTCAAACAGGTCCCTCTTTAAGGACTTAGCCTTGCAAGGATGGGCGTTTTCGCTTCCCAAATTTTGAGTTTTATGGTATGAATTTTTCAATATTTTTCTTAAAGAGAACAGTACATATTCCCAAATGAGCATTACAGCTTTATACTAGTGAGGCAAATGTTTCCAGTTTGACAGATGGCAGGTTCTGCACAGACACTTTAACCAGCTGAGAGCGTTTGTGACAGGTCGCTTTGGAAGAAATCACTAAGGCAAACCAGGAGTGTCCGAGTGGGCTGCAGTTCATTAGATGTTGACTGTAATGCATATTCTTAAGACCATGTTTTTTCCTTTTAGCTAAGCAACTACTGCAGTATTAGAGGCTTACACAAATTAAAATTATGTGTGTATTATTGGAAATTTATGTCATTTTAAAAGCAAAAAATAAGCCTATATTTCTTTTTTTTTTTAACCTTCTGTGATACCTTATGCACACCCTTCCTTGAGCAACAGTCAAGGTTGTCATAGCAATGCTTTTTTGCTCCATGATACTCTGACACATGGGATTTTCATTATCTGTTCTGTAGACCACAAAGTGCAACCCGCATTTCTCTACCTGCCAGCATCTTGAACTTCTCATGCCTTTGACAACATATTTAGCTGCCCAGTAGATACTTCTGGCTAAACGCCTGGCTTCGAGCCTGACCTCACAGCTCCACAGTGTCAGAGCAAGTCGTGAAGGCACCGGTCTCCTGGGAAAAGGCAGAGGAAGGGCCTGCGGCAGGAGGACCTAAAAGATGGGCATTTTCTAGAATGGAAATTAGGAGAAAAGGTTTGCAAGCACCATCCCTCTCTCTCAAAAAAAAAAAAAGGAAATAAAGAAAAAAACAAAGAAACCTGCATCTCTGTGAGAGCAGAGCTACTTTTCCAGTGCTCTGTGGTGGGAGCAGGACTCCTGGCAAGGTGACAGACAGAGGAAAGGGCTGGAGGGAGAAACGCAGAGCATGCTCCATTTTGCAGCCTTGTGATGTGCTAAAGGTGAATTGCTCCAAACATTAGCGAGGAATCTATATGGAAAATGGTTGAAAAAAATGTTACAAAATCCAACCTCTGAATAGGTGCAAGCCTTTAGAAAAACAAACAAACAAAAAAACTGCAGCATATTCATATATTAGAGAAATTATATTAGCACTTTTTGATATGCTCTTGAACAAATCCTAAAGGATTCATAAAATTGATATTATTTAGAAAAAACATATTCACTGCTGATAATTCATTGTAAGTAAATATACTTACATTAGGTGCAAGTGCTTGCTTCTTACATTATTGAAAGTCAATTAATTTTTCATGTTTGATTTTTGCATCCCTCAGCTTCCACAGCACACAGAGTAAAAGCAGTATTTTGTTTCCCTACGGTTGGGTTTCATTCAGACTCCTACCGTTACCATCAAGCACAGCAGACGGATTGAATAGCGCCTATGAAAAGCTATTTCAACTATAATTTTAAACACATTTAAATGCTGAGCGAAATGTAAAATGATAAAGTGTTTCAGATGTGCCCAAGTTGTGTTTTCAGTGAAGGGGAAGGTGCAGAGCGTCGAACAGATCCCCCTTTCGCAGACTCGCGCCTCAGCTCATGAGGTGCCGCTGCGTCGGAACACTCGTCTCCATATTAGAGAGGGGTAGCTTAAATTATTGGGATAAAGTCCCCCAGGAACCGCAGGTGACCAGGCACAGGGATAACCACTTAGAGCAGTTTTCGCCCTCGAAACGAGTCCTGTTCTGAACTCCCACCGTTGCTCCCCGCTGCAAGGGCGCCCGTTGAGGGAGCGGGCGCGTTGCACGCGGCGGGAGGAGGCCGCGCTCGCCCTGCTCGCCCTGGCCGCCACGGCCGCGCACCTGCACTACGGCGTCTGCGTGGTGAGCGCGCGCGGCGGGGAGCGCCACGCGACTGGCCTGCCTTTGCCCTGCTTATCGGCTATGTTTAGGCTATGCTTTTTGTGAACGGGCCCTGCCTTTTCACCCAGCCGTCATGCGGGTGGCGGGGATTTCGCCAGCCCTTCGGGCTTCCTCAGGTTACCTAATGGTAAAGTGCCAAGCAAACAGGCACGGAGGTTGTAGAGCCAGGTGGTTACCCCAGGGGTGAATCCGACAGCAGAGCAGCCGCTCGCGGCCGCCTGCGACGCCTCTCGAGCTGCGGACACGGCGGGTTCACTCAGCGCCCCCGGCCCAGCCTCGTGTCGCTGGAGAGCGTCTCTGCCACTTACTGTCACCTGAGCTACCACCCGCACGCGATTCTCCCCAGCTAATTCCCCTTCCTTCTAAAGAGCCTTGACAAATAATCCTGAGGAAAGTGTCTTAACGGCAGGTTGGTCCTGGATGAAATGCCTCCTATGGTCGTTTAACAGCGACTTGGGCAAGTTCCTTTTTCTTTGAGGCTTGCTCTTGGGCTGGAAGAATTTCTTGTTCCCTGCATTTGAAGGAGGCCTTTTCCCTGCTCTGAGGGGCTGGACGCGGTGCTGCCGGTATGGAAGGAATGACCTCCTGGTCAAAATCAAGTAGCGAAGGAGTGGGCCCAGCTCCAGTGCTCCTTTATGTCTCCCACAAACACGGGCCCTATGGAAAGGTCACAGGTCTCTTGTTTTAGTATTTGTAGAGGACTTTGGTGGGGTCCCATCTGTCTTAACTTTGCAGAGGCAGGTACCAAGCCATGTCCTAACTGCTGTGCTCTATCCCTAGGGAAGGCAGCTGAGCGAGCACTTCAACATTTACATCTTTTCCTTGAAGAAACGTGTCCAAGAATGAGCGCTTGTGCTGTGACCAGATTGTATCATTTCCCATGGGAATGCACGGCTCTTTTCCTGTGACAAATAGTGGAATTAACCTAATGAAAATAACCAAAGAATAGAATAGGCCTGGATATTCGAGCCACTGTGACAAGGAGCTACGTGGGAAGATGCTTCATCTCAGAGAAGGTCCCCGTCCAGCAGTGATGTGTTTACCAAGTTGTTCGGCTGCTAATACTATTTATTTTCTCCACTAATGCCATGTAACCACCCACTCCAAAGCTTTGGGCTTCCTTCTGCGTGACACTGTCTCTGAGGTCCTGGATCATCCTGCCTGGGTTACACAGGATCTTTGGGATTTTATAACCAGTTCTGGCCAGTCTCTTCACCCGTGGGATGGGACCTCTGGCAACGCACATTGTTCCTGTATGTCCTTCCACTTCCCACCTCTGTGCTGGCTCCATTTTAGGTATTTATTGCCTCACATCTCATTTCTTCCATACAGCCTCCGGAGGGGCTTTCCCACACTCAGTCTTTCCTTCATCTCAAATCCTAAATCTCGACTGCGTGATGGAAAGAGAACAGGATCAGGAAACCATGGGCACAGCAAAGTGTTTTCCAGCCCTATAATCCCCCCGGCCCATGTTTAGCTGAGTGTGAGCTGACCTGTGTGTGTGAGAATGAGGGCTCCACGCAGGAGGCAGTTGCCTTTATAGCTTTCTACACAGTAACCCGGGCATTGCTGCTATTTAAGTCGTGACAAACCTTTGAAGATTCTCCCATTCGCTGCAAAACTTGTGTCTGATGGATAAACTCAGCACACAGCTTTCTAAATCATGAAGCAAGTGGTGGAAAACCAGATATGCACTAGTCTAAATATTTTTAAAATTCATCTATCAGTGAAAAATGCTAAGCAAATAACTATTTGCCTGTAGTCTTGAATCAGTTTCTTGTGGGTTTAGGTAACAACTAAGAAGAAAAATAGGTAAGAGTTTTTTAACACTCCACACTGCCACGCGGATGCAAACTGCACCCTTCGTATGTAATGTGTGTTGGTTTTGTGTGTGCCTTGGAGGAAGGACGAGCACTGTGAGTATTGCCTCTTCTCAAATGCTCCCCAGGCCAAAGGGACTGCGTGGCCTTGAAGCACCGGTGAAACCACTTCCCCAAGGAAGCACCTTGCCTGGCTTGCGCAGCGGGGCGCGACGGACTGACTGGCATTTCCCTTCTGTAGTTCAGAATCATCTCCCCTGCCAGGAGCAGGGCAGAGTGCCCTTCTGTAGCCACTCAGTTATTTGGCCACTAAGCCTTAAATTCACCTTTTTCTGAGACCATTTATCAGGCTTTATCCCTTGCCTCTCATTATTTTCCCCCAGTTAATATATTCTTACATCAGTACTGCTTATTAATATTTTCAGATGAGGACCTACTAGTTCCATCTTCTGCTTCAATTTGAATTTGTATGGCCAGTTACAGTAGTTGACCTGGCAGGTTTTCAAACCTACCACAAAGCAGAGTGGGTTTCCCTTGGCAGCCAGTTTAACATAGATGCCAGGAGACAAGTCTGCGTAAGAAATAGGAGTTTGGGAGATAACTTGTTTGGGAAATAAGAGTCTGGGAGAAATAAGAGTTTGATATAGGCAAGCACTCAGCAATTTTGAGCTATTTATTTTTAACCAGTTCCTCAAAGCCTCTGGAGGAAACCCCGATGAGACAAGAATTAGAAAACAATACACAAAAATTCCTCTGGATTAAAAGTGGTTGTATGGAAGAACTCCTGGGAGAGACCTTCCCCCTGTTCTCCGTTTATTTATAAAACAGTTGGAAATAAGAGACACGGAGCTGGTGTGATGCACTTTGTAAAAAAAACTTTTGTCAAAGGACATTATAAAATTCTAATAGCCACTGACTAGCTGCACATAACCTTTCTAAGGCATAGTATTAGTTTTAAAATAAACTAAGCTCTGAGCAGCTTTTTCATATTCCGCATAGCCATGGCAAGCAACTTCTTCCTTTTTAAAGCTGCTTTTCACTACAAGATCTATCCAGACAAGTTGAAACGTAAATGATGTATTGCACAGTGTCGATACTGAACTGCTTGATGGCTACTGAACTGCCATCGTAGGTGGCACCTGGCTCCGACAAAAGGAAATAAAGATGCTTTGGTCATTGCGGGTACGGTGCCAGATTTATTCTGTAACATCAGGTAATGGTATGAACAAGAGTAGAGTTCACTCCTTGGCCTGGTCAGCTCGGGTATACGCAGGATTTGCGGTGCTCAGAACGGGCAGATCAGAACTGCTCCTTTCTTCAGGGGCCAGGCGCGCTCCTGCTCCCGCTCCCGCTGCGACGAGGAGCAGGAGCCGCGGGGCTCCAGGCCGGCTCCCCGCGCTGCCCTGCCCCTTCCACCTGGTAGGACATTCTTCCACTCTGCTCCACGCAAAACTGCACTGCAGTCTAACATGCAGGCGAGTTTTAGGCTCTGCACTGAAGATCCGTCCCTGATACTTGGCTGTTGGAGGGCAAGTCCTTTGGGAATGTCCATATCTTTGCTCTAGCAAAGGTTCCCTTCGCCTCCTGGCTTTTCCCCACTTTTGTGGCTTTTCGTCACTTTTGCTGTAGCTAAACTGAGCGATATTGGTACTCTGAAAGCATTGGCTAAAGGACGCTCTCTGGCATTTCCGTTTTTGCTTGTGTATTTTCTGTTTTTGGCTTGTCAAGGGTGACACAGTTGCTGGGCTCTTGCGGAAAGACGCAGCTACAAACACACAGTGAACCTTTTGCTTCCTATTCTCATACACAACTATTAATGAAGCAATTATACATATGTATTTTAATTGGGAAAGCATTATTTTAGAAGGCTTTGAATAGTCCCTCGAGCTGGACAGATTTTCACATTTTTTTAAATTAAATATGTAAAAAGATAAACGCAATCAAGTTATTCACATATTCAGGCAAAATCCTACTCTACCATGCAGCAATCGGTGGATGATGTAAAATGACCGACACGTCTGAATAAGACTTTGTATCTATTATGGCATTACTTATCTGTTTACAATTAACAATACATATGTTTACATTCCTTTCAGTTTCCATTTAATATATAACCAAAGCTTTACGGTGTGCTATTTAGTAAAGGTAATTACAAATGGTTATTAAAACCAGAAGGGAATAAGGGGTTGCTCACGGGGACAACTCTCTCCCTTTCAGGGAATCGCTCTCCCCTCCGCACAGTCAAATTTCTAGTCCCCAGAGGTGATTTCCTGCCCGGCTCCGTCTGTTGGCCATGTCCTCCTTGATATGGGCAGTGCTATGGCCTGCGGACCAAAATCAGGGAGAGAAAAGGCATTTTCAAGGATGCAAAGTTCAGGTTTTGAGTGTGTGCTTGGAAGGGAGGAAAGAGCGGAGAGGGGGGGCGGGGAGGGGA